GACAGATCGCTAAGCGAACGTACGTTGTAAACTGTGCTGCCGTTTATCACATGTTTGTTAACATTGAAAGACAATTATTATGCTAATTATTTGACTGGCTCTTGGATCTCAAGTTTTGACCCATGTATAAGTCGAGGGCGAATTTTTGGACTGATTTTTAGGTCTTGAAAGGTTGACTTATACACGGGAAAATATGGTACAGTGTGTCCCCCAGAAAACTGGAATGTCCCCTAGAAAATTGTTGCCTGGGACAGAATGTCTCCCTAAAGTGAAATCCTAGATCAGACACTGGACTATCAACCAAATCTTGCATTGTGATTAGCTAATAATGACTTAAATTGGAAAAGTTTGTTGGGGGCCATGGTAAGGTGCGTCACACTTAAAAAAAGTGGTAGTAATGATTTTAACAGAAATTATCTTGTTGTGATATTGTCATCCAAATTTGCATTCATTACTCTAGGTAAGTCAGAAGAAGTTGGATGAATTGTGGCCCAAGTTACGTGTTCTGGCGCGTTCTTCACCACAGGACAAATACACTCTTGTAAAGGGGATTATTGACAGCAAGCTCAATCCAACACGGGAGATTGTAGCAGTTACTGGTGACGGTACCAATGATGGTCCGGCACTGAAGAAAGCTGATGTTGGTTTTGCTATGGTAATACATTTCTTTCTGCAACACTACATGTGCCTCTAACAATGTATCTTACTAGAAGCCTTTGTTACTGGTGTTTGGAAATACAGTTAGCAGTTTTGATTGTTGCACATGAAACTTTGTACTGATCAGTTTGCAGTCCTTTTTAAACCCTTTCATGGCTTATTTGGCTTTTCTGTAGTTCACTAGTTGCTTCTCAAAGTAATGTTGTGATAATAAAGGAGGGAAGTGGCAAGTGAGTTTTGTTATTATTTGAAAGAATTCAGGGTAATTCTTAATGATGGAACATTCAAATTTATCCTTTATTAGTAAGTGTCTCAATAACTTTTATCAAAACATGCAAATATTTAAATTGGGTGGTGGAATTTGATATTTTTATTGTCTTGTAGGGCATTGCTGGAACAGATGTTGCTAAAGAGGCATCTGACATCATTCTTACTGATGACAACTTTAGAAGTATTGTTAAGGCCGTCATGTGGGGGCGTAATGTTTATGACAGTATCTCAAAGTTTTTGCAGTTTCAGCTTACTGTAAACTTGGTTGCCATTGTGGTTGCATTTATTGGTGCATGTGTTGTTCAGGTAAGATGCAAACTCAAATCAATAAGCTTTGTGAAATTGATTTTGTGACAAAACATATGTGCTTAAAACACATTTCAACTGTTTAACAGTCATTTTCATCCAAGAATAAAATTAACATGTATAAGTATGTAATAAAGGCAGTGTAGGTATAGCTTTCTGTAGAACGCATGCCCACTGACATAGTGGTTAAATGCAAATTGTAGAAACTAGCTAGTAAAGGCTAAGAGAATGAAAAATTGTAAAATGACTGAAAGACCTAAACAAATCCATTCAAGCCAAAGGGATTGCAGCACCTACATGTACATAAAATGCATGTAGTATACATGTAACTACAGATGTTTAAAATTTACAGTTGTATTTGTGTATTAAATTGGATGATGAAATCCTTTGTTATTCATACAGGCATTTGCATGTATTTTGTTGAACAAAAAGCCACTACTAACTTAGGTTCAAAGCACGCAACTTTCAATGTTCACAACTAAAAGAGGTAAAATTAAAAAAGCCGATAAGTATTGTATAAATTATCAGACTAGCTCGAGCATCAGTGAACAATGAATATCAAACAAATACTCTCTCTGAATCTGTAGCAGCTCGCTTAAAGTGCCAGTAACCCCCCAAATTTTCTTTTTGCTAATATAAATTGCCTTTTTCTCTTGTTCACCACTGTGAAAAAATTGTTGTAGCTATTTTCGTTAATTTTGTATCAATTTTCAAAGTTTGTAAATTTGCTCTTTTCCATTTTCACCACCAAGGAAGAGCGGAGAATGGGATGAGTTGTCTTCTGACGTCATTTCGGGAATAACAATATTTTGTTTCTGAGAAGAATATATGCGAACATGCGATAGTGTGTGTCAAAAGCGTTGCAGAATGCAAGGAAAATATGTTGTTGGAGGCTGTAGGAATACAGGATGGGTACAGTAGAGTATTCCTCTTCATTCAATACCTCTATCTTGATGAAACTCGACCAGAAATGAGATAAATGGCATGCAATGCATGCAGAAGCGATGACGTTTAAAAATTGTTCCTAGCAGATTGGAACATGAGCAGGCAAACTGATTCTTAAACTTTTGGGTGAGAAATTTTAGGGGTTTACATTTAGGGTAGTCCATTGTTGGTTCATTCAAGTAGTTCATGTACCAGGTCCATTTTGTTAGTCCATGTCCTAGGGGTCAGTGAAATGTACCAACCCAAATAAAAAGCACTCCTGAAAAGTTCCTCTCTCTGAAATCAACACCTTATTATCTTTAAAGATATTTGGCAAAGCTAATTACCTCACCGGAAATCAATTAACCATATCCTTGTCCAAGAGAAAATCATTTTCTCTTGACTTGTCACATTGCGTTTTTTGACCAGCTTGTCTATCTAAAATTGTATGTATCGAAGATATGTTATTATGAGTTTGCCCATGAGCGCAAATTTATCCGACACTGTATAAACCAAAATCCACCCC